AGGGGCAGTCAGAGGGCAGCTCAGATGGACAGGGGCAATGCTAACCATGCTGCGGGGAAGCTGTAAGGTAGGTCAAGAGCAGGAGAGGAAGCCCAGGAGAAGCAGGGGCCGAAAGTTGGAATTTCCTGTCTTTGAGTTTCAGAGCTCCTAACCACATATTACCAGTTCACAGGTATCCTTAAGAAAAATCTTTCATAAAGATGAAATACATGCAGCCCATTCCCTTTAGTTAAATAAATTTATCCATTTATTTATTTGAAAGAGTGGCACACAGCAAGTGAGATACAAAGAGAGATGGCTCTTTTCCCATATGACCACAGCCAGGTCTGGCCATTGCAAAGTCAGATATACAGAGAGGAGGAGAGAGAGAAAGGAAGATCTTCCGTCCGATGATTCACTCCCCAAGTGACCGCAACAGCCAATGCTGCACCAATCCAAAGCCAGGAGCCAAGAACTTCCTCCAGGTTTCCTATGCAGATGCAGGATCCCAAAGCTTTGGGCCGTCCTCAACTACTTCCCCAGGCCACAGCAGGGAGCTGGATGGGAAATGGAGCTGTCAGGATTAGAACCAGTGCCCATATGGGATCCTGGTGTGTGCAAGCAAGGACTTTAGCCACTAGGCCACGCCACCGGGCCCTAGTTAAATAAATTTTTAAAAATCCTTTTATATATGGCTGGAGTGTCTGTTCCTTGCAACCAAATAAGCTGGTAAAAAGAGCCTCACATATGTTTTTAAATTATTTTAGAAAACTTTTCCCTTATTATCTGTCGCTCAGCTCACTAGACAAACAGGAAAATTACATACTTACCAGTCCCTGTATCTCCCCAGAGGCACAAATATTATCACATTCCAAACTCCAGCCACCACCTACCCTCACAAGGCTTCCACACTGTGCTGTGAAAATACTGGGACAAAAGTGCATCAAAAATCTGAGGGCCCGGAAACACTGGCCCAGCCAGAACCAGCTACTCAATATTGAAGATGAGAAAGAGTATATCTATAATCCCAGGAAGTAATTTTAATTTGGATAAAGGGAGAGCTTTCTTTTGCTTGGTGAGGTTCATTACTACAAAAAGCTATCAGAAGGCTTTAAAATCACCACAACAACAGAAGGTAACAATCTGCTTTGCAAGGTTTCGAGATTTCTTCCCTAAGGTGTGGTGGTAATGTCTGGAGCCCTTACCTCTGCAATCACCTTTAATTACAAAAACCCCTGGAAGGACGTCTTATTCATTCAACTGCATTTCCCAAATTGGTATTATGGTGCCAGATTCTACACACCATAAGGCTCTAAAAAGGACTGAGCAATTTCTGTCCTGAAGGCAACAGTACTGATCAAGCAGAGGACACAGCCACCACCCTGTATAAATCCTACTCTAAGAGAAGGATGAAAGTTCTGTAAAAGAAGTGACTAATGAGCTTTCATGTTATCTGCAGGGAGAGAGATTTAAGCTGAATGGATTAGGACTCAAAAGGACTCTGTGGCAGACAAGACCGAAAGCCTAAATAAATGGTACTGATGAGATGGTTAGGACCAAGAAGAGGGAAAGAGAAGAAAAGTTGGGGGAAGAACACAGAGTGTCAGAAGAGAGAAGAATGAAACACATACAAATAAATAAACAGATTGTTGCAAGCACTAGGAGCCCTTACAGGTGCCAGTTTGTGTCCTGGGAAAGCAGTAGAGGATGGCCCAAAGCCTTGGGACCCTTCCACCTGCATGGGAGATTCCAGAAGAAGCTCTGGATTCCTGGCTTCAGATGGGCTCAGGTCCAACCTATGTGGTTTTTTTAGGGAGTCAACCAGTGGATGGAACATCTTTGTCTCTCCTACTCTTTGTAAATCTGCCTTTCCAATAAAAACAAATTAAAAAAAAAAAAACAGAAAAATGGGTTTTCCTGTTACACTGATATGCTTAAATGTATTCCAAATATCAAAAAAGATTATGCTCGTCATAAAAATTTATTTTTAAAAGAGAGCAAGATACCATTGGCTGGTTCCCTTCCCAAACTACAGCTCTCTCAGACAGAAGCCACAGCCCAAAATTCAATTTGGGTGTCCTCATGTGTGCAGCAGGGACCCAAGTACTTTAGCCATCACCTGCAGCTCACCTGTGCACATCAGCAGGAAACTGGACAGGAAGTGGAGAAGTTCTGGCTCAAACCAGATACTCTGATATGGAATGTGGTGCACCAAGTGGCATCTTATCCTCCTTGCTACAACATCTGTCCTTGACGTGTCTTTCAAAATACACTGGGGAAAATTCCTGATGAACTACAGTGTGAGAGATGTGGGGATGAAGAGGATCCTGTATTAAGTAGCTTCTAAGATGAAGGCACAGTCTCAGGCAATCAGAAGAAACTCTGTCAGGATTTAATTTGCTTGAACTCCAAGCAACTGAGGAGTTAGCTCTGTGAGTCTAGTGCGATGTTGTTTGTGGAGAAGCCTCCAGATGGGGGAGTCCAATGAGAAAATTCTAGTCTTTAGAATATAGTCACAGAACTCAGCAGACATGTGGGGCACAGGTACAGAAATCTGAGAATGTCCCTGTAGCAATGGGAGAACTAAAGGCAAAGATATGAGCTACAATCCTCAGAGAACATTCATAAGCTAGGGTGAAGGCAAGGTAAGGGACATCAGTGGGAGCTCAAGAGTGCCCAGGCTAGGTGAAGACTGACCTAAGCAGAATCAAGGACACTGAGAGTGACACTACGAACAGCAACTATTCCTGGCCTCCTTCAGAGCTCATCTACCACTTCACAGCTGTAGCAGAAAAAAATTTTGAAATAAGGTTAAATCAAATTTCTAAGGAAAACCACTGCAGCAAGAAAATCACTGATTTGACCTCTCTGTAGTAAAGGGTACCAAAGCCCAACAAAGTGACAAGTGCACAGCCTTGCAAGCCTCTTACTGTGTCTTTGGTACATGCTGCCCAAGGGCATGGAGGTGAGGAGCCTTAAGGAGGGAAGCAGCTGATGGTCTGGGCTCACTGACACCTAAGGCAGCTGGCTTGGCGAGCACAGAGAGCACCACTGAATGTGTGCTTTAGGCCCAAGGTTGACAGAAACCCTCCTCAGGCCAGCCTCCTCTCAACTGTCTCTTACCTGTAAAACAGAGGAAATGGCTGATGCCCACTTACAACAAAGCTTTGGTGAAGACCAACACTAAAAGTTATGCAAACGTGCTTGGTAAAAATAAATAACAGGACAATCCACTGGCCGACTACTGCAAGCTAAGAATTACCTACTTTACAGGTATCAGCTCTCAACAATTTAGTGTGTACAAAAACCACACAGGACAGCTGCTAAAACACAGAAACTTGAGCTCTACTCTAAGATTATCAGAATTTAAAAGTTCCAGCAGATTCTGATGCAGTGGTGTATGGTGCAGATTACATGGAAAACTGAATTAGCTCAACATTAAAAAAAAAAAACAAAAAGGCTGAGGGCCCGGCACGGTGGCGCAAGTGGTTAAGGTCCTCACCTTGCACGCCCGGGATCCCATATGGGCGCCGGTTCTATCCCGGCAGCCCCGCTTCCCTTCCAGCTCCCTGCCTGTGGCCCGAGAAAGCAGTCGAGGACGGCCCAAAGCTTTGGGACCCTGCACCCACGTGGGAGACCCGGAAGAGGCTCCTGGCTTCGGATTGGCATGGCATCGGCCCGTTGCGCTCACTTGGGGAGTGAATCACAGGAGGGAAGATCTTCCTCTCTGTCTCTCTTCTCTGTATATCCGCCTTTCCAATTAAAAAAATAATAATAAAAATAAATCTTAAGAAGTTCCTGGCTTTGGATCAGCTCAGTTCTGGTCCTTGTGGCGACTTAGGGAGTGAATCAGCAGACGGAGGATCTTCCTCTCTGTCTCTCCTCCTCTCTGTATATCTGACTTGCCAACAAAAATAAATACATCTTTAAAAAAAGAAGAAGAAGAATTTACCATTACTCTGGACACTAAAAAAAAACCGCAGGTTACATTTCCACAGAGCAAGCAAGACGGCCAATTTGGAGCCCTACCCCACCAAACACCACTACAAAGAATCTGCTGTATCCACACTTGTTACACCTAATCCCAGGGTAGAGGGGTATGCACTCAGAAGCCTAACCACAAAAGCTTGAATAAATGCCTGTTATCCAGGGTACATTCTAACATTTCATATTCTTGGCTTTGAGTAATTTAAGGTTCATTTGTCTGAGGTTACAAATACTTTGAAGCCTGGTTAAATCAACCAGAATCAGGAGCCATAATGTCCAGAACTGTAGGTCCCCTGTAGGTACAACTCGGCGCCAGGTTAGTATTTTTATTGCTGTACACCACAGCGCAAGTGACCAAAGTTTCTCATTCCCATATTCCAATTTATTCTAGAAAACTGCCATTCAAGATTGTTCCAGTTTTTCTGTTTTGTTCTTTTGGAGGGCAGTGGACAAGCTGATGATTCTGAAATCGTGTGCTGAGTTGCATTTCCAGTTAGACTGGAGGAATAAAACAGGGTTCAGAATTATATCTTTAATATCAATACTGAATACTGTAGTCAGTACTAAATGCACCTAATCAGTCTGCTCTGTGACATGAGCTTAAGAACTTGTTAATTTTTAAAAAAGAAAGAAAAAGAAAAATATATATATAACAATAAGTAAAGCATTTCCTTTCTGGACTATCTAAAATGTACCCAATCCAAAGCAATGTTACAGTTTAGAAAACAGCCTTGTAATCTGCCATATTAGAAAACAATGCAGCTTCGAGGGACTAGAGCCAACACTGTAGCAGACCTTGCTGGTCACCCACTAAGTGCACCTTTATGCCAAGGACTCTGTTATTGCCTTGAGGACTTCAGCAGTAATAAGTTAGTTAGACCAGAGTAGAAAACAGCATGAGAGAACTCAGTTTTGGCTTCCTTGCCTAATTTTTGTTTCATTTACCTACGGAAAGGGAGTAACTTTATCAAATAAAAACAGGGGGAGGAACAGTTTCTCTGATATGATAAAAATTAGACAACAAAAATACTTACACAGGACTGGAATTCAAAGAGCAATGATCCACCATCATTTCTGGAAGGAAATCCAACTTAAACGCAGCCATCACCTCACTCTCCCCTTCAGAAGCCAATGATTTTTAACTTGCTGCACTTGTCTGATCCACAAATACACACAGCTTTAGCTTCCTGGGCCCCACAAAAAACACAAAGTGGAAACAGGAGCTCAGGGAAACCAGCAATAAGTGCCACAGAAACAGGCAGGACTGGGGAAGGGGCAGGGCAGTACTGGATTAAAATGGGGATGTGACCATGTAAAGGGAGGCTCAGCTCAGCACACAATGAAAGTGCTGATGCGCCAGGCTTGTTTTGTGTGATTTTCCCTGGCGAAGCAGTACTAAGTGCACTGTCAGATAAACAGCGTGTCAGATCCATGAGGATAGCACCGGCCAACAGAGCAGAAGACATACAAACCTGCCTCACATCCTCCTCCTACCTCCTCCATGAAAATCACTTTTTGGGGTCTCCTGAAGTAGGAAAACAGCTCACCTCATGTTTTTGAAGAACTAAGCCATTTGGCTTGGTTCTGGACTTAGCATCCATGTGCCAAACACGGCAATGGGCACATCGTAAGTACAGTCATGTGAGGAGGAGCAGACCCCCAGGAACAAGCCAGAGGCCAGCTGGGGAACCAACCAACTGCTGCCAGCGCACTGTGCCCAGGAGCAACCTCACTTTCCCGGTGCTGCTCATGGCAGACTATGCTACCTCCTGGCTCCTCATTAGCGTAACAGACTCCAAAAATCCTTGGTCCCATAATGTTCATAGGGTGGCACAGGCAAAATATCTTTACTGGCTGAATCTTAATTTGCCATAAAATAAAACAAAATAAAATAAAAGTGATATTCTGCTCGTTTCGTGACAGTGTAACAAGAAAATCATTTAGTCTTTTCAGTTCTCTGATGACATTTGTCAAGCAAACAAACCCATCACACTGATATAATGAAAAAACAGGGACACACAGTACAACATGGAAGCTTCTCCATCCTCTCCTTTCTCCCTTAAACTGTTGCTGAAATCAAAATTAATAAAGGCACACATAAAAGTGCTATTATGGGTGAGCAGTAGAGATGAATATACTTAGAAATCAAGGCAGATGTGTGCGCCTGTTCTCAATTTAGCTCCACTTCCCTCCAAACAGCAAATGGTGACATTTCAATAATTAGGCAATGTCTCTAAGACTTAATTTATAAAGGCTCCCAAATTCCACAGGCTTTTTTTCCCATTTTTATTATTAGGGTTGCCTTACCTCAAAGATTTCACTTCACCCAAGCTCAGTTCAGCCTGTAAAGAAGTAAATAAATGAACGCCTAAACACAGTTAATTTGAAAATAATAATAATAATAATAATAATAACGAAAGGCAACAAGTGATAGCATAAGTTTAAAACTTCTGGTTCTGGGCCTGGCACAGTAGTCTAGTGCCTAAAGTCCTCATTTTCCATCCACCAGGATCCCATAAGGGGGGCCAGTTCGTATCCCAGCGGCTCTACTTCCCATTCAGCTCCCTGCTTATGGACTGGGGGACCAGGAAGAAGCTGCCAACTCCTGGCTTCAGATCAACTCAGCTCTGGCCACTGCAACCACTTAGGGAGTGAACCAGCAGAAAGATGTTTCTGTCTCTCCTTCACTCTGTAAATCTGACTTTCTAATAAAATAAATAAATCTTTAAAAAGCAAAACAAAACAAAAAAAAAATCGTTCTATTTCTGTGTGACACAGCTGACATCTGTCTGCCCCTGACCCATGAAGGCAGAAACTTTTAAGTCCAGCACCCAAGACACAACTGTTCAAACTCAGAACTGCTAATGGCAGCTCAAGGCCCTCTGTTCTGTCAGACTCTGGCTCAGCTGGCCCAGGACGTCAGAGGTACAGGGTGGGAGCTCTCCTCCATCCTACTGGAGTAACAATAAAAAACCAACTGCAGGCGAGAGGACTGTGCCATCAACACACGGAGACAGTCCACCAGCCCCGGCAGGTGGGGAGCAGGAAGCTTAGCCAGGACTGGTTAAATGAGCACTTAGGCCTGTCGTCTCTCCTTTGTACGTTGACAGGCCTCTTCCCTCAGAAAGCTCCCTGGACCAAAGAGTAACCATGAATCCAAAGCCAAATTAGATCTTAAAGAATTTCTTGAAAAAGAATAAACAAATTTCAAGGAATCCCATTGGTTAGTCATATTTTTATTATTTTTATGCAATAAAAGCAACACATTTACACATTTACTTGCAGTGTTTATGCTATTAAAAGCTATTTTACAATGCTTAAAAAACAATAAAAAGTAATATTGTTATATGAAGAAAAATGCTTCTCTTCAGGCAGGTCATAAGAATTAGAATAATTAAGTTTAATATACTTGTGGGAAAAAGAAAGCACAGAAATTAATCACAAGTCACTCAATTTCAGAAAATGGTTGTAAAGTTGCCAAATGAAAATCAAAAACAACTATGGGAATAGAAAACACAGATATTAAGGATAATGAAAAAGCAGATTCTAAAGTTAGTTATCCAGGAAAAATGCCTGTAAGTTAGTTAAATTTCTGTGCAGGCTTTTCCTGAATGCATTAGAAATATAACCAATGATGGGAAGAATGGTGATAATCAAGGATTGAAGTAAAAAAAAAGACAATAACATAACTTTCCCACTTTTTTGTGAAAGATTAATTTCTATTGGAAAGTCAGATTTACAGAAAGAAAGATCTTTCAGCCACCGGTTCACTCAGCAAGTGGCAGCAACAGCCTAAGCTGAGCTGATCAAAAGCCAGGTACCAGGAGCTTCTTCTGTGTCTCCCAAGCAGGTGCAGAGTCCCACGCCTTGGCCCGTTCTCTACTGCTTTCCCAGGCCACAAGCAAGGAGTTAGACCGGTAGTCGGGCAACAAGGGCACAAACTGGTGTCCACATGGGATCCTGGTGCATGCAAGGCAAGGACTTTAGTTACTAGGATACTGTGCCAGGCCCTCTTTCACTTTCAGCTACCCCTTCCTTCCACTCTGAATTTCATCTCTCTCAGTTTTCTTTGCCTGAAATATTCTCCATTTTTGGAAGGGGAACAATTCAAAGCCTAATCATGGCAGGGGAAGGGCAATTAGCCTGTTAAAACATTTAGCAACCACATCAGGGGTTGCTGTTTGGGAGGTCTGCATTTTATGTTGGAGCATCTGGGTTCAAGTCCAGCTTCAATTATGATCCCAGCTCCATGCTAACATACACCGTAGGGTGGCTCAAGTAACAGGGTCCATGCGACCCATGAGCAAACCCGGATGGAGTTCCTGGCTCCTGGCTGCCATCTAGCCCAGTCCTGGCCTGATGATTGCAGGCATTTGGAAGGAAAACAGGCAAATGGGAGATATCACTTTTTCTCTATGCCCCTCTCTCGCTCTCTCCTGTTCTATTTATATCGTGTGTGTGTGTGTGTGTGTGTGTGTGTGTGTGTGTGTGTGTGAGAGAGAGAGAGACAGAGAGAGAGAGAATTTCTGTGTATATGCATGTACATCCTCATCTGTAAATATTTAAATAAAAAATTTTCAGGGCCCGGTACAGTAGCCTAGTGGCTAAAATCCTTGCCTTGTGCAAACCACAATCCCATATGAGCACTGATTCTAATCCAGTTGCTCTACTTCCCATCCAGCTCCCTGCTTGTAGCCTGGGAAAGCAGTCGAGTACAGCGCAAATCCTTGGGACCCTGCATCCACATGTGGGAGACCCAAAGGAAGTTCCTGGCTCCAGATCAGTTCAGCTCCGGCCATTGCAGCTGCTTGGAGAGTGAACCAGTGGATGGAAGATTTTTTTTTTCTTTCCCTATAACTGCCTTTCCAATCAATCAATAAGTGAATAGCTAGGTAGGTAGGTAAATAAATAAATCTCTTAAAAATGAAATCAGGTAATTTAAAAATAAATAATAAGGGAAACTTTTTAAGATAATAGCACATCATGCAATTCACAAAATAGGAATAAACTTCGCAAGAAAATTTCAAAAACCTGCACTAGAATATAGAAGCTCCAAAAATTCATATTTTCTTGGCCAAAAGAGTAAGAAACGGAGAGTTGAACAAAATGCCTTGACAGCACGTGCAAGCATCTCTCAACTGATGCAGCAGGGGTCCAGCGACAAGTGAACAGATATCCCACTTTCACCCCAATAGTCTAAGGCAGTGTGAAAGGGCAATGGAATGAAGGATGATCCCACTGAGCATAGAGGAGATTACAGACCACTACCACTGCCTTGAAACAGAGAATCTGTGGGCCTGGTACGGTGGCCGAGTGGCTAAAGTACCTTGAAAGCACTGGAATTCCATGTGGGTGCCATTCTAATCCGAGCAGTCTCATTTCCCACCCAGCTACCTGCTTGTGGCCTGTGAAAGCAGGTAAGGACAGCCCAAAGCCTTGGGATCCTGCACCCACTTGGGAGATGTGGAGGAGGTTCCTGGCTTTGGATCAGTACAGCACCAGCCATTGCGGTCACTTGGGGAGCAATTTATCAGATGAAAGATCTTCCTCTCTGCCTCTCCTCCTCTCTATATATGTGACTTCGCAATAAAAACAAACAAATCTTTCTTAGATAGAATCTGTGTAATAATAAAAAAAAAATCACTATTAACTCATGTAACAAAAATACCAAAATCTCAGGAAAAGTTTTAACCTCGGGCTACTAAGCGACTGGGTATGTGCCTGTCCGTGTTGCTGACAAATAATGGGAACACACAAATGTCTAAGTAGCTGATACTGCTTGGAAATAACCAATCAGAGTAACTTACTGCTTTGACACATTGAATTTCACTACTAAAATTGAATACTTCCAGTACTGGTGCAATTCATAAGGCTGTTAGGGCTACTAATTCAGACTCACACTGACAAATACCTCTGTAGCATCCTATTTTGTAGCAGTTTGGTTGCTGCTGCAAAAGTGTGACAACATAACTTAGAGGGCGTCAGCATGATAGCACAGTGGGTCAAACCACTATGCCAGCATCCTACATGGGTGCCAGTGTGCCTCCTGGTGGCTCCACTTCTGATCAGCTCCAAGTGAATGTACCTGGGAAAGCAGTGGAAAGGTGGCCCGAGTCCTTGGGCCCCTTCACACCTGTGGGAGACACAGATGAGGTGCCTGACTTCATTTTGCCCAGCCCAAGCTGTTGTGGGAACTCAGAGAGTGAATCTATGCATGGAAGATCTCACTTCTTCCCTCTGTAACTGTCTTTCAGATAAAAGAATTTTTTTTCCAAAGATTCTAGCATTGTGATGCAATGGGTAATGTTTTTGCGTGAGACGCTGGCATTCCAAGTGTGAAATGGTTCAAGACTCCAGCAGCTTCACTTTCTATCGAGTTTGCTGCTAATGCACCTCGGAAAGCACGTGGCTGAAGTGTATGGGCCCCTGACACCCACATGGAGACCCAGAAAAAGCCCCTACTCCTGGTTTTGCTCTGGCCTGTCCCAGTCCTGACTTTGCAGCCATTTGGCATGTGCTTTCTCTGGCTCTCTTTCAAACAAATGTGGGGTTGGCACCTTGTATAGCACTATGCCTCCAACTCTAGTGCCAGCTTTCCATAGGAGCACTAGGCACTAGTGCACGTCCTAACAGCTCTAACTCCAACCCAGCCCCCTAGCGGAGACCTGGGAAGACAACAGAGGCGGGCACAAGCCCTCACACCCCTGCAGGCTCACAGGAGTTACTGGCTGGTGACTGGCTCAGCTCCATTTGAGGAGTAAATCATCAGATGGAGGATGATGCTCTAGGTGTCTCTGTCCTCTCTCAGGAGCTCTTTCAAACAAAACAAAATAAATCTTAAACACATACACCACCCACCCCAACGAAAACCTCTGTGAAGTTTAAATAAGAATCAAGACAAAGTAAAAACTACTGAACTGTGACAAACTTTTGATATATTAATTAAGATTTTACATGGGGGGCCCAGCACCATAGCCTAGCGGCTAAAGTCCTCGCCTTTCATGCACAGGGATCCCACAGAGGCGCCAGTTCGTATTCCAGCTGCTCTACTTCCCTCTAGCTCCCTGCTAGTGATCTGGGAAAGTATCCTAGGAGGGCCCAAAGCTTTGGGACCCTGCACAAGCACGGGAGAGCCAGAAGTTCCTGGCTCCTGATTGTCACAGTTCCAGCCATTGCGGTCACTTGGGGAGTGAATCAACAGACAGAACATCTTCCTCTCTGTCTCTCCTCCTCTCTGTAAATCTGACTTTCCAATAAAAATAAATAACTCTTTAAAAAAAAAAAGAGAGATGCTACATGGGACACTTGTATCCCATATCAGCATGCTTAAGTTAGAGTGTCAGCTCAACTTTTTTTTTTTAAGATTTATTTTTTTAATTTTTATTGGAAAGTCAGATACACAGGAGGAGAGACAGAGAGGAAGATCTTCCATTCACTGATTCACTTCCCAAGTGGCTACAACGGGGCTGGAGCCGAGCCAATCTGAAGCCAGGAGCCTCCTC